CATTATTATGAGACAGCTAATGAGATAGTATCTCTTAATTATGAGATACTATCTCATAATAATGAGATAGCTAAGTCATAATTATGAGATAGCTAAGTCATAATTATGATACTATCTCATAATAATGAGGTAGCTAAGTCATAATTATGAGATAGTATCTCGTAATTATGAGATACTATCTCATAATAATGAGATAGCTAAGTCATAATTATGAGATAGTATCTCTTAATTATGAGATAGCTAAGTCATAATTATGAGATAGCTAAGTCATAATTATGACATAGCTATCTCATAATTATGACTTAGCTTTCTCATTATTATGAGATAGCTATCTCATAATGATGAGATAGCTATCTCATAACAATGAGATAGCTAAGTCATAATTATGAGATAGTATCTCTTAATTATGAGATACTATCTCATAATAATGAGATAGCTAAGTCATAATTATGAGATACTATCTCATAATAATGAGATAGCTAAGTCATAATTATGAGATAGCTATGTCATAATTATGAAATACAAGTTTTGTTTTTCATCAGGGTGACAGAAATGGGCTTCCATATGTAGGTACAGATGCGGAGAGCACATTTACATCTGCACAAACTTTTCCCCAGTGGTTTTTTCGAGTTATCGCAAAATAACGATGACCATTTTCTTGAGATAATTTCTTCCATCATCACGAGAAAGCATCATTGTTTTCTTAAGCAGTTTGACAGCCTGAGTCTGTCAGTCTGCACCAGGCTGACTGTGGCTGTGCAGTTTACCATTGTTAAAAAAATGATCAGGTGATCAGGACTATGTACCACAGAGCAGACAGTGTCCCTACAAACCCAGGAGCCAGGSAGAAAGAGAAATCACACACAYGACAGGCCCTGGAGCAGTGTGGTTATCCTGACTGGGCTTTCCTGAAAGCAGACAGGAAACACAGACAGGATTCCATGCAACCTTCAGGTGAAAATGAAGACCCCAAACCCAGACCCAAACCAGTGGTTATTCCGTATGTTGCGGGTGTTTCGGAGAAACTGAGACGTTTATTTTCTAAACATGATGTCCCAGTAGCTTTCAAACCCCAAAACACATTACGGCAAAGGCTGGTTCACCCCAAAGATCCGGTGCCCCGGCACAAACAGAGCAATATTGTATATGCTGTTAAGTGCCAGGAGGACTGCAACCAGTTATACATCGGGAAAACAAAGCAGCCACTGTTCAAAAGAATGTCCCAACACAGACGAGCTACATCTAATGGCCAGAACTCTGCAGTTTTCACTCATTTACAGGCCAGCGGTCACTCTTTCAGAGATGAGGATGTTCTCATTATTGACAGAGAGGAACGTTGGTTTGAGAGAGGAGTAAAAGAAGCCATTTTTGTGAAGAAAGACCGTCCATCATTAAACAGAGATGGAGGCCTCCGTTTTCAGTTGTCCCCCTCCTACAGTGCTGCTATTGCCAGTATCACTCCACCCCCTGTTAACAATAGGTGTTAATTAGGTGTCAACGATAGCCATGTGATGTGAGTATGAGTCACATGGAGGCAGGGCTTAAAAGCCTGAATTTTGCCTGAAACTCTCAGACTGAAGAAGTCTCTTGGAGGAGAGACGAAACGTTTCATTAGAGAAGAACCCGTCCAGAAGACCTATACAGTTTTTTTTCTTTTTGAATTTTTACCTGGATTACTGAGATGCATCAGGATACCATTGTTAATGTGTGTGTGAATGCGTGTATGAATGATGCATGAAATTGTAACGCATCTTTGAGGGTTTCGAAAAGCGCTATATAAGACTAGTGCACCATTATTATTATTATTATTATTATTATTATTATTATTATTATTATTATTATTATTATTATTATTGCCAATATTAAACTATTGCTGAAAATGGTCAGATCCTGGAGAACCTGATCAATAAATCGGACTTTAATTCTTTCTAACACAAGCTAAAATTGCAATTTGTTAGCACACACACAACAATCATCTCGTGATCTCGAGATTAACTTGTTATCTTGGGAAAACCATCTGGGAAAAGTATAGTATGCAGAGAATGTCTGCTTCCATGGATAACCAGATATGGCCTGTTAAAAAATAAAATAAAAAAAACAGTGCTGCTAATTACATTCATCCAGGTCACTTGCTGGTACTGTACTTTACAGTATAGTGTTCTCTGCTGTAAATATGTTGATGCCATGCAGGGACGTCAGAGGCAGTCAGAGTGAGGGAGAGACAGGAACAGAGAAACACAGAACAGATATTTTATATTTGAAAATCTTGTGATGGCAGTAATATTTGTAAATATTGCATTGATGATATCAGGTGTGAATTATGTATTTTATTAACTTTCTTTCTAATTTGTACTTCCTATGTAATATTTAGTGTTTTTGGCAAAGTCATTTGTGTCTGCTGTGAACCTTTGCTGCTGTGAGACAATATCCTTCAGGCTAAATATTGCATTAACATGGAAAAAAAAATACAACTTCAAAACTCTTCAACTACATTGGTCAACAATTATTGCACTCCAAGCAGTCCTTTGTGATATAAATATTGTGCACAGTGATATTGTGATGATATTTTGACAATATACAGAATTGTGCAACCTATTAAAACCTTTTTGTTGTTGGTTTGCCCACAACACTATTTATTCCAAGAAACATTTGAAAAAAGAGGAAAGTAAAAGGTCAAAACAGATTTTGTGAACGTTTTGCAGAGTAGTTAATTTTTTGCACAATTTACAAATCTTTCAGGTTTCCAATATTGTGTCCCCCCCCCCCCCCCACACACACAACAGTAAACTCATTCCTACACCCTTGATTATACCTGTTTATTGGTGACATCTGAAGGACTGTGAATAAAAGTGTTTTTATACAGAATATAAGGTCATTTAATTTAGTTCATTATTAGTGATGTCCTGATGCTGATACTGGTATGTGTTTTGGGCTCAATACCGATATTTTTACAAGTCAAATATCCTGATACTGATACCATTACCAATATCTATACTAGGATAATGGTATCAATGCTCCATTGAATTTGTTTACGTTTCAGATGAAAAGTCGGTTCCATTTTAAAGAAATGTATACAAGTTGAAGGAAAATCTTATTATTTACATTTATTTCAAAATTTTGTATCATGCTGTATATCTGATTTGATCCAGAGGGGCTGCAGGCCTATAAAGGAGCCAACTTGTTCTAAATAAAATAACATATGAAGTCGGTTGTGTAATGTTTAGATTCTAACTCAGTAAACACTCGACGTCGACATGTACCCAAACTGGTGTGCCGGTATGATTGGTTTAGGATAAACTATCAGGACACTCCTATTATTAAGTCAATTACTGAGTTATATGTTGACATATTTAAATATACAGGCTTTATTTGTGTCCTAAAAATTACACATGAAAAAAAATTGTCTCCAAGAAGAAATATTTGGAAAATGGGTTGGTGTGTCAATTTTTTATTGGGGGATGGGGGGTTTGTGTGTAATTTTCTTGTTTGTTTTGCTTCCTTGCCACACCTGATCTAAAAACTGTAACCAGCTGTTCTTTTAGTTCCTTCTCGCTCTGTATTCACACAGACTGTTTTTTTTTAGAATCCGTTCATTGTGTGTTATTTTAGTCTTCTCGCTGGTCTAGTGTTTCCTTGTGTTTTATTCAGTCTGTGAAGTAAAGCCTCATCGTCATCATCAGTGAGTCTACTTGTTTGCTTTTAGGTCCTTCAGTCCTCACCAGTCTTGGTTCCATGGTGGCATTGATGATTAAATCTGAATTTTAGAAGCTTTCTGATGAAAGTTGATTCTTGTGTTCTTGGAGCCTCTGAGCTGTACATCTGTGGCTCTTCATCAACTCTGCCAAAGTTTCCTTTATTAAAGCGCTGGACCCAAGTCCTGCTTGTGCTGCTTTGTAGAAGACTCCGTTTGGAAAGTAAATAAGAGAAATCCACATCTTTCATCACAAGCAGAAACTGAATAATATAGATGACATTAGGAAAAGATTTTTTTTTTTTTTTTCCCTGGCAGGAGTTGCACCTCTGATGGAGGGCTGGCAGAAGAATGGCGCTGCAGTTAGCTGTACTGAACCATGATGTGTTTTCACAGCTGCTGCGGTCTGAAAGATGGTGTGATTTTTTGCAGAAGTGTGGGGAAAAGAGCAAAAAAAAAGTGAAGCTGAGTTGCACTAGCCATCTGTGCAGCCTTAGTACTCCACGGTTTCCTGATCAAAGGCAGGATGGTGCACGATGACGGCCGTCACCTCGCTTTTTGTTTGCTTGTCTTGTGTCTGTTTTAGTTTCCCTCCACTGATTCTTTATCATCACATTCAGTCTTTGACATCTTTTCCAAGGTTCCCCTCTTCTGTCCAAGAAACTGGTGGCTAATTTAAACAGATCCAGCACTGCAAAAAAGTAAAATCTTACCAAATATTTTTCTTATTTCTAGGAAAAACCTCTCATCACTTAACACAAATCCAAACCATCTACAGAGATCAATTTAAGTGAGATATAACAACTTAAAGAAGACTCATCATGCTTTTAAATCCTTCCTT